GTTGGATTGAACTCAACTTTTAGCGACGTCGCTCTCACGCAAATATGAGAGTTTGAACATGGAACTTGTTCGAGATTAATTTGAATCTCGTGTATTTCATCCCCGGCGTGATGGCAGCATCAGCCGGGTCAGATCGTGCAGCGCCGCATGAGCGCTGCTCGCGCATGCTCGATCGCGACGCGAGGCGACCGCGCGACTTCACGTACGTTTCCGGCGCTCTTTGTCTCACAGCGACCGTACGTAGTACACGCGTCTTAAAGTACGGATAGTTATCAAGTGCTCTTTTGTGGACCTCCTCATTTTCTCATCGAAGAGTAGAATCAGTGCGGACACGCAGTGAACTGTCAGCAGTGCAAAGCATCCAGGACATTCAGATACAGCATCAACGGCAGCTCAAGCTCTCCACGCATCGCACGCCGGCGTAGCGTGGCCACGGCTCATGGGCATCGACATTCACGAGGCCGACTCTCGATCGAATAATATCGAATAATATCGAATCGTGCAAGTGCATTAAGACTTTTCATCCACCGGTATCTCATAGACTACCAAACTGTAAGCTATTACATTTATTAACCGCTGACACGGTATTTTACTCCAACTATCTGAGTTACGATCACGTGATTTCTACCCTCGCACGCGTGCATTCGTTCCCTGAGCCTCTCACCGTAAAGCCCTCTCACCCTGCTTCCATCCGCAGCGGTCACCAGCGAACTCTCCTTGCGAGATTCGCGAACAGAACTGGAAGATGTAAATACATTAAATAAATACACACAGACTTTTCTAATACTCAATAAATTAAAATCCCGAAATTAAAACATCGAATAAACGATTGCTTGTTTTTTTCTCTACGAGAACGCCGTAAAACCGTTAGGTTATTTGGTGTGTCTTCTTGTTTCGCCGTCCTATTTACAGTATTTTCCCTGTGCCCTTGATAAACTGGTAAATGAGCACCATCTTCTCCCAGTCTTCTCTCTTGATAATGTGAAACGATTGCTTATTATAATTTTAAGAATAACTGTGATAACATGTACATACATACAGCAGAATAAAAATGGTTAAAATTGAAATAATTTAATGAAATTTTCATCCAGTAACAGGTATAATATATACTTAAGTTAAGTTATACTTATATATATATATATATGGATATAGGTATATGTTATACCTGTTACTGGATAGAAATAAAAGTTGTCATCGATAAACAGCCGGGTGTATTCCTCTATACAACTATAAGTCGGAATACTTTTTTCACCAATAATTAGTTTGCATATTCCACAAGTGTGTACAACAGCTACCTGAAAATTTCATTAAATTATTTCAATTTTAACAATCCCTATTTTGCTGTATGTACATGTCATCACAGTTATTCTTAAAATTATAACAAGCAATCGTTTCACATTATCAAGAGAGAAGACTGGGAGAAGATGCTGCTTATTTATCAGTTTATCAAGGGCACAGCAAAAACACTGTAAATGGGACGGCGAAACAAGAAGACATACCAAATAACCTAACGGTTTCACGGCGTTCCCGTAGAGGAAAAACAAAAAAACAAGCAGTCGTGTTATTCGATGTTTTAATCTCTGGTTTTTAATCTAATGAGTATTAGAAAAGTCTGTGTTTATTTATTTAATGTACTTACATCTTCCAGTTCCATGATGCACATTTCACATTTGCGCACATTTGCGTGCGAGCGACGTCGCTAAAATCCATTTTCACAAGCGACAGGTGAAGTTAGCGAGAAATAAAATCACGTGACTCATTTGTCGCTGAATATTAGCGACGAGCGACACCATGAACACGCACCTTAAGACATTATTCCGTTGGTTATATATGATTTGAAGAATCGCGAGAATGTCGCGCTGTTAGAGATTCGGAGCTGAAAATAGGTTCTAGCGTTTTTCTTCCTTTTAACCTGCATGCGCGCGAGACGCAAAAGACCGCCGGCCGGTTACAACCGGTCGCCTCGGTGTTAAGAATTTCTGCGTTTGCTAATTTTCCTTTGGTTACCCAAATGTAAAGTTTCCTTCGGTTTTTTCTTTTTAGTTTTCGTCTGTTTTATCGAGGTTTCTAAATATGGGCGGGTACTGTGTGGTACCACACTGTAAAAGTACCAATATACAGTCGAGGAAGTCAGTGGAACAACTTGCTATCGAAGCGAGTTCCCAAAAAATCTCGTTCCACAGGTACGTATAACCTAGGATGATGTCCGTAAACTTAAATTCCGCATTGGTTTTCTAAATATAATTTATAATGTCTCGATAACTGTTTGTCGAAGGGAAAAGTAGTACGGAACTTTTTTTACTTGATTTAGCTCAGGAATATGCTGTTGCAATGGTTTATGTATTGTAACAAAATTTGCATGCACAAAAATTTTCAATAATTGAAACACCATTGCAACAGCATATTCCTGAGACTAAATAAAGTAAAAAAGTCCTGTACTATTTGTAGAGATAATTGTTAAGATTGTAGTACTTGGGGTTAGGGTTAGGTTAGGTTAGGTACAAAACGTGTTTCCTCGCTTCTTACTTTTCCCACTGGCCTAAAGAGCTTTCAGAAACATTTCAGAAAACATTGTTGCAATTCACTTTTTTACTTTCTTTGCGTAATTGCCGGATTATATTCAGTTATCTGGTATTATCCGGTTATCCGGCACACCCTTAATAATTTATATTATATCTTGTAAGGTAATCTTTTTGCAGATTTCCTACCAATCCACATGAGAAAGCAATGTGGATCGAACTATTGAATATCGAAGAAAAAGAAGTGAAGGACAGAAGCGTTATATGCTCATTACATTTTGAGGAAAGATTTTTATACTGTACATCAAATTCGAGGAAACTGAAGAAGAATGCCATACCATGTGTAAGTAATTATCATTTCACGTTGCCTACCGTGATAAAGATCGGGAACGCGTCTACACTGCCAGCATCTGTATCACGTATCATTTTTTTGGTGTTTCTGTAAATTACCGACTCCAAGTGAATCATACTTGTGTCGTATCTGCGTATCATCTCGATCAGATGCGACACGAGATACGGGCCTAGGTTTAGATAGATGGGCTATCCGTCATTAAAATAATATGATAAAACCTTTTTAAAAGTATTAATATATAATTATAGATATTTCAAGATTCACCGTACACAAAAGATATACAAATTGATAGTAGCAGCAGTATAGTCAGAGGCGTTAGCCAAACAGCCTGCGAAGCTAGAGAGCTAGAGCGAACTGGAGAGCCGTCTAGTTGCACAAACACTGAGGTGGATATTCCACAAACATCGGAAATTCAAAATTTACGTTGTACCAAAGGCACCAAAATTGATAGCGGTAGCCAAACAGCCTGGGAAGATAGAGAGCAAACTGGAGAGCCAGACAGTTGCACAAACATTGAGGTGGATATTCAAACATCTGAAAAACAGACGACAAATATCAAGGTTAACATTAAAGAAACTAGGTATGGCAAATGAGTTAATATGGTTATATTTATTCGTACACGATGCATTTATAACTATTGTTATGTAATGTTCCAGTAAACACCACGTGCGCGCTGTCTCTAAGGTAATGTCACCACTTGGGGTCACACGTAGTACGAGAGCCAGTTCTGTTGATCCAAAACCCCAACCTTTAGCCAAAGAGCAAATGCTCGGTAGCAGTTCTCGTCCTATCGCCTCTGTGCCAGCGCCGTTTGTCCCGGAAT